CCCCCAGCAGCGATGCTTCCTCATGATATGCATGGGCACATGAAGGGCGGAAGGAAAGGGCTTCGAACTATTTCTTGGGCACACTTGATACGCCCTCTATATTTCTTCTTGTGATATTTTTGATTGTATCATACATGGCAGTTTTGGCTTGGCGGCTGTTGTGTCCAGGTACGGGTCTGGATCGCCCAGGGCGAAACTTTGTGGACACAGGTGGTGGCTGCGATGGATTGACGCACTAATTTCTGCGAGTCCTCTTTGAGTGCCTGGCATTTAGTCTTGCTCTGAAGTTGCGCAGCATGATTGGCATGCTCGGGACAGCTTGGCGGCGACGTTGGCACTTTGGTAATGGTTCTTGTCAGGCCAGCTAGGCCGCGGACTCCCGACGTTTGGTGGCCACCCATGACTTGGTCTTGTGCACTTTGATTTGGCTTCGGGGTACCAGGAGTCGTCAGGTGACACCCACAAAAGTATTCCCTCGAGACAGTAGCTAGAGATGTCTGCCTATTTAACTAGCACCCTAGATACGTAGGTACCCGTCTACCTGCAATTGAAACATTGCGCTTTTGCTTCTGAGCCCCCAGGCGGACCAAGGAGTGTATCAAGAAACGTCATTGACCGGGATCCAGCACGTAAATTTCGAGACATGGGACGAGCCACGAAGGGATGAACCTGACAACCGTTGCCAGCCGGGCTTGCTTGCATGGAATGCCCGCCCATGCGAAAACGGCGGGTACTGTATGTGAACATGGATTGCATTCGAGTAACCATGAAGCACAAGGCAGGGTCAGTCACCGGATGAAAGAGATTGTGAGATAAGTATCTACCTACATACCGGGAGAAACCCAAATAAACCTACAGGACAGATTAGCATTACCTATTCAGAAGTGCATGTTTACATTGTAGTATTTGGCCGCCGCGCCTGGTTTGGCCGAGGTACGTGGAGGCTCCCGCATTTGCCTGGCTGGTCAGCTGCTGGTTCTTGGTGTCGTTGCGCCGTTCTATCCGCACCACGGTGAAAACGAGGAACAGTGGCAAAGCCCAATGCATGCCCAGAACCTGGCTGGAGGGTAGGTGGTTGCCCAAGGCGAAAGAATGTCAATACCAATCAAAATCAAACCCCGGTTGGCGCTGAGCACCTTTTTTAATTTGTATGTTTTTTTTCTACTATCCTGATTCGTTCTACACATGCACCTATATTCAGGCACCAACCTTCGAGTGAGTATAGATTCAGTGTTGGAACACACGCGAGCGACTCGCGCGGGATCAGACGAACCCGTCGGGGAAAGGCATCCCTTCCCAGGTTCGTCGGTCGCAAACCACGGGTCGATTGGGCGTGGCGGCGACGGTTGGCCGCGGTGATCAGGCAGGCAGCGACCTCTGTCGCGTGCTGGAACCAGCAGACCAAGACTTGCCAGGCGGGCGAGGATTGCCTTGGAGGGAACTAAAAATCAGGGCGTCTGCCCTCGTGGGCTGAAGAGATCAGCCCGACAAGCAAAGCAGCTCGCGTTGACGTCTACTTCTTCTTTGTCTACCTTCTCTTGGCTACCTACCTCACTACCACCTACACAAGTACCTACCTCCTAGTTGGCTGTTTAGGGGGTCTCTTTCCACGCCCAGCGACCGGCAGCAACGTCTTTGTGCAGTGCTCAAGCCTGGCAGGAACACCCCACCATTCTTTCTTCTTTCTTCTGCTTTATCCCCTGTTCCCTTTTAATTGGGCGCCACGTGCGGATCGACGTCACTGGGCGCGCCACGCCTTCTCCATCCGGGGACGAAGGTCTGGCCTGGGCTGGCGGCTGGCGGTTGATGCGAACTCCCGCCCGTCGGCCGCAACCACCAGCTCTAGCGGTCGAGGCTTCAGCCGGATTCTGGGCTGCCAATACGTTAGCCCTTCCCGTGTTGCTGGAAGCCCCCCAGCTGGGAACCTGCTGTAAACCGTGACTGGAGCCTTGCAGGCGCATGCCTGTTTACCCCCTCCGATCCTGCCCAACCACCTACCCACCACCCACCCCCAACGCTCGTCCCTTACACACATACCTCCCAGCCTACCTGCCTCCTACCCACTGCGGTAGGTACCTACCCCTATTCGACGATAGCGGCGGCGGTCGAAGCAGCAACGCGCTGGCGCTGCCGCCGCAAGTTCCAAAATGGACGTGGCGGTCGCGCCCGCCTCGGGCGCCGACGCGCCACCGCCCCTGATGGCCACCTACAGCAACACCACTGGCTTCAGTCCCCCGTCGGATGGCGATCTCGACCTGCAGTGGGACCAGACATACTTGCGCATTAATTACATTGTCCGTAACCTGGCCGGCCCCGTGCCCCTACAGCTTCACCACCGTCATAGCTACCAGCATCTCTACCCTGGTCCTGCCACCCACGACGGCGCCATGTCGGACACGTCTTCCGAGAGGCGGAGGCGACTCGAGGCCCGGGACCCCGCGCCTGCGACTGTGGTCGCAGGAGCCGGCCACCAGCCCACGGCCGGCCTCGTGGGCGACTCGCCCACCCTGGGATACCCCACGGACGACCCTGGCGCAGCAGCCGGTGGCCACGCTGCGGGCCGCCCGACAGCATCTGTGCGCAGGTGGCCTAGCCTGGCCCCCGAGCGCGCCGCCGAAATGAGCACCCGCGTCTCTGTCTGGACCGAGGAGGTGTCGGCCCAAGGGGAGGAGGCTTACTGTGCGTGCTCGGCCCCCTGGGCTGCTGCCCGCCTCCGCCCGCCCCCGGAGGGCGCCGACGACGAGGGCTGCTCGAGCGCGACGGCTAGAGGCTTGCTGCCCGCCGCCCTCGTGGCTGGCTCCGCCGGCGGCTCTTCGGCGCTGGCATCCCCCGCCGCCAACACGACCGGCCCGGTGACGGGGTCGTGCAAGATATGCGGGCGGCCGCTGGATCCCACGGGCAACGCGGCTGCGGGCGGCCAGAGCGACAGCAGCTGCTCCCGCGGCAGCCACGCCCAGGCTTCTCAAGGCTGCCCCGACGATGACACCGGCCGAGGCGAGAACGGCGACGGCGGCGGCACCAAGAAGACAAAGTCGCGGGTGCATAACCTTCTGCATCGCTTCAAGCGACTGGGCCGAAACCAGCGCGATCTTCAAGACTTGATCAACGAGAAGAACGGCGCCGGTAGCAGCAATAACGACGGCAATAATGACGACAGCGGCGAAACCAAGGCTATCGGCGGCGACGGGTCTGCGGCTCCTTCGGGCCAGGGTCGAGACCAACAGCCGCTCGCTGCAGCGGCAACAACAGCAGCACTAGCCGGCTCAAGCGGCACGCTTATGTATCGTACCAAAGCCCCAGGAAACGGCAGCCCAACAGCCACGCCTCAGCAACCCCAGAATCAGCAGCCGGGCGCCCGGGCACCGGCAGGTCAAGGCCGCCGCAACACATCCGCTTTTGGGCCGGTGGCCGAATCTTCCGGAAGTAGTACAGCGGACAGCAGCCGCCGCCGCCGCACGCGCGATTCGGCCGCCCGTCTCGAGAGAGCCCGCCTGCAGTTGGAGCGCCTCAACGGCCATCCTCTCCCGCACCCACCCCCGCCGACGGCGCCACCCTCAAACCCTCCTCCGGCCCCGCCGTCCAGGGGCTCGAAGGGGAAATGACCAAATGGGCACGGCGAGGAGTTACGGAAGAGGAACGCGGGGAAGCCGAGCATATCCCCTGTCCGCTCCCGTTTTGTTTACTCTCTCTCTTGTACAAAGTTGGCACTTCTGATCCCTAGCCGGACAGTATTGTTTCTGCTTGTTCTGCCCTGTCGCTCTATTTCTCTCTTTTCGGTTCCCAGACAACATTTCTGCTTTGATGCATACATATACCCTCGGCCGCCGCTGGCTTCGCTTGGCTTTTCTTCAACGAGCGTGGTTCTCGTATCTTTCCTCATCATGCTTTTTTTCTTTCTTTGCTTTTCGTTCCGACCGGTTTTGGTTATACCTTTTCCTTCTGGATTTCCGCATCAGCATTCGATACCACGCACGGGGGAAACGGACTTTACGAGAGGTTCTCGGTTTCGGATGTAGATGGGTTAGCGGTAGACTATTGCCCACACTTGGGTAAGCACGAGGAGATGGCGCACACAAGGTTGCGAGCAACGCAAGATACCACTTCGTTTTCCACTTTCTTCTCAAGAGCGTCGTATAGCATGCCAACCAGGCACGGGAAGTCCGTCTCTTCACCGGGTCGTTCGCCGGGTGTTATCATACAGCGCCAACAAATACACTAGAGCTACAGTCTTTGAAATGCCGTCTTCTCAGCATCTTCCGGATAAGCCCATGTTATAAGAATACGGCTTAGGCACTCGTTGGCGCTCACCATCATACAATTCACGGGGCACCTAACCGACCCCCCTCGGGTGGCGAGTAGTATTGATGGAAGAATGAGCAGCGCCCGGCAGCCTAGTATTGCTGCCGAGGCCATTTTCGATTTTTTTTTCTTGTAGGATTTCTGTGGATACAGTTAATTCGCCTTGGGCGTGCGTGCGTTATCGAGTAAAGTGGAGGGCGGGTGTGAAAATACCAGACCACAAGTTGGAAAAGATAGGCAGACCTACAGGGGAATTGGTAGGAAATTTCCCAACACCCACAACCCACACACTCTCTTCTAGACCTGAAAGCCAGATGAGACGAGAGGAGAGAGACACGAGACTTGTTGAGTAAAAGACTCAGAGGAAAGAAATGGGGAGGAAGAGGAATCTGGAGACGGCTAATGCACCGGCAGCCGAGACTCGGAAAGCCCAACGGCTGTGCAGCCATAATCCCGCCTCCCCCGTCTGTCTGTCAACGCCCACCTACCCACCAAGAGAAAGGGCGCCACACTGTTGACAGAGAGAGGCCCAGAAAGCGCATGCAATATGACTGTGAGGCAGGCTTGGAGAGACGCAAATAACTAACGGGATGCTGAATCGAAAAAAATGGGGGAGGGACATAGGTTACGGTTCAGTTCCGTGTATTTGACCAAAAGAGATGAAGGGGGGAAACGGGAGCAAGAAAAAGAAAGGCAACTGATCTGTCCTGCATGTCCGATCCTGCCACAACCAACTCCCTGTCCTCCATGACCGCCGATGCCGCATTTGAACCTCACCAGCCACTCTGTCTTGGCACAAGCCAAAGGACCCCCATACCTATGACTTATCGAAAGAACACAACGTACCCAGTCGCAACAGAGATATCAACTCGGAAATGCAACCGAGAAGGTGGTGCGGGGAAAACAAACAGGAGGGGGAAACCCCGATTAGGAACCCAGTCCCATGGGAAGGGGAATCAAGGAGTCAAAAGCTAAATCTGCGTTGCTTCGTGATAGTATACGCTATCGCGCGACCCTTACGACTCGGGAGCGGCGGCAGCGGGGGCCGGCTCGTCGGCCTTGCCCTCCACCTTCTCCTCCGTCTTGGCAGTCTCGTCCTTGGGCGCATCGGCGGTGCCCGTCGGGGCGGCCTCGGCATCGCCCGTCTCGTTCGAGGTCCACAGGGTCAAGTTGTCACGCAGCAGCTGCATGATAAGAGTGCTGTCGCGGTACGACTCCTCCGAAAGCGAGTCAAGCTCGGCGATGGCATCGTCAAACGCCTGCTTGGCCAGGTGGCACGCGCGGTCGGGAGAGTTGAGGATCTCGTAGTAGAAGACGGAGAAGTTGAGCGCAAGACCCAGGCGGATGGGGTGCGTCGGCGTGAGCTCGGTCTGAGCAACATCCGTGGCGCTCTGTAGGGTGATTTCGGTGGCTTGTATTAGTCACGCGCGTCATTTCCGAGAAGCGGGATGTCGCCTGGCAAAACCCCCATCGATTGCCGCTCCCTTCATACCTTGTAGGCCTCATGGGCAGCAGTGGCAGCGACCTTGCGCTTGTCGCCCGAGGCGAACTCGGCGAGGTACCGGTGGTAGTCACCCTTCCTGCAGCGGCGGACGTTTTGTTAGCATGCGCTGACGCAAAGTACGACCCGGTAACATCATAAAGTTGCGTCAAGCCCCCAAGCGAAGAACCACGATAGCCGAGATATCTGCAGGAAGACCAATGCGAAGCAGTCCAGGTCGTGAGCGATAAGAACGTACATCTTGTGGTAGAAGACCTTGGACTCGCCAGAGGCGGCGTTGGGGATGAGGGACTCGTCAAGGACGTCGAGGACATCCTGACACACCTTCTCCAGCTCGGCCTCGATCTTCTGGCGGTATTCACGGATGGTGGACACGTGCTTCTCGGAGCCCTTGGACTCCTCCTTCTGCTCGATGGAGGAGATGATGCGCCAGCTGGCACGGCGGGTGCCGACGACGTTCTTGTAGGCGACCGAGAGCAGGTTGCGCTCGTCGACGGTGAGCTCACCGCCCAGCTTGGCGACCTCCTTCATGTAGGTGACCATCTCATCGTAGCGCTCAGCCTGCTCGCAGAGCCTGGCGAGGAAAGTCTTGCTGTAGTGCGTCACACGGCGTCAGTATGCTGGTCCTCGTCGGGCGAGCGGGCGGCGTGGCCGTCTTGCGCGGGATGGCTCGCCGGAGCAGGCGATCGTCGGGGCGGTAGAAGCCATCAACAAACCTTTCACGCTGTGGGTTACAGAAAGTAGATGTCAGCCATGGTCGCTATTTCTCCTCATGGAAGAGGCGCACGCGGATAAGATAGTCAAAAAACGCGAGGGCAAAAACAACGCAGCGGGCGGTGCCATCAGGCGATCGGGCAGCGAGTGCGAGTGCGAGTGCGAGTCTGGCGTGGGCATGTGCCGCCGACCTTCGGCACTAGGAAACGCAGACTAGGCCGGTGACACCGCCTGTCCGAGGCTCGCGTCCACCGACGACCATCCACGGCCACTCGGACGCAGAGGGCGGGTGCAGCGGCGGGGGGAGGGACAGACGATAACGGGAGCGAGCAGCGGCAGAAGGGCGGGCATGACAAACCTCGGTGGCCATTTTTGTGGATTCTGAGTTGTGTCGACTTGGGAAAAAAGTGAGGCTTTGAGTGGTTTCGTGGGTGCAGGTGGTTTGCAAAAATCAACGCGGAGAAAGAGGGTATCGAAGAGGTGGACGTGGGAAGAGACGGTTGCGGCAAACAGGAAGCGCAGGTTGGAAATTGTAGGTGGCTACAGGAGGGGAAGGAAAAAAAGAGGGATGATGTTGTTGAGGGAAGGCGGAAGGCGGCCGAAATGGAGGTCGAGCAGGGCTGCTGTCTTTGGGGGGTCTGGCGGTGCTGCTGCGGTTTGACTGCCCCACTTCCAGGCGCCTCCTCTGACTGCCCTGGCTGCTGTGCTCATCTGAGTCTGGATCATGGCAGCAACCCAAGCGTGGGTGAGCGCAGGCAGGCACCGTAGAGGGGCAACGCTCGCACCTGGCAATTCGCGGTAGGCACTGGTTGGCAGCCGCCGGTTCATGCTCGGTGGGGCCGTTCCTTTCACAGGCCTGCCCGGGCCAATCAGGAGGGGTGGCTGGTGCTACCTAATTGCTCATCCCTTAGAGGCTTGGTTTGTTTTGATTAGGATGGATTATTCTTTGCTTTTTGATCTGGGCAGTACGTGGTATGCTTTGATTCTCTATGGGGTCTTTTTATTTTCGCTCTTGAGACGGACTCTCGCTCTTTGTAATTGAATTTCAGAGCATTTTAGGTAGCAGAGAAAACACAGAAAAAACGCAGCCGCCACATCCTGTCAACGACAAAGAGACGTCTCCCGTGCGTAAGGCGGGGTACGTTTTGCGCACCGGCCAAGGCAGGCATCGAACCCGGGCAGGTAGCTATGCTTGATAGCGCTCCAATTCAATTTCATCAGGATGCCACTCGGTCCATGTTCGTCACACGACAGCCGCCCAGCCAACGATTCAGCCGCCCACGAAATCCTCCAGCCCGTGTGCGTCGCGCCGCGCATCGCATCTTGTGCATCGCCCGGGGCTGGGCCGCCCTGGGGGGTCCGACTGAATGCGGGCCATCAAACCAGACGCGTCGACAGATTTTGCAACGGCACGGAACGGATACCTGCTTCTGTCTTCCCAATACTCTACATACCTACGGGCTGCCTCTGGAATGAAATGGGGGGGTACGTACCCGGCACCGCAGCCTGTGCCCAGGCTGGCCTGTCGGGGCCCGCGTTCTAGAGCCTCCCGCTTCCATGAGGTTCTACGTCGTATCGGCCGGGCTTTTCACTGCCCCCTTTCCCCCGGTCCATGCTTCTTTTTCGTGCGGTGCCCCTCTGTGCTCTGGGCTCACATCCGAAATTGCTGGCTGCTGGCTGCTGGCTTGTGCATATTCGGCCCCCCTTCCCACCGCCTGTCCTGCCCGGCAACATGGAATTTCGCGCTCCCAAGTTCGTCGGTGGGTGGTTCGCCAGCCCTTTAGGTATAGGTGCCCAGCACAGTCACCGCCAAACGTCCGCTCCTCGGCATTGCCCGCCACCCCTCCACTCCTGTCGTCTCCTGTCCTCCAGCTTGACAGGCCGGTCAGCCAGCCATCCACCGGCGGTCTGTGGCGAGCCGGATGCCGTGGGCCACTTGAAACGAAAAAAAAAAG